AAAAGGGGATAGGTTATGGGAGCTTTCAGGAAAGGGAAAAATGAAATAGTGGGGGAAGGGAAAATGAGTGTCAGTTATGCTGCCATGATGTTTATGGGCAGGAGTGCATTTGCTTGACCTGTGTACCAACTGCTGCTGCATTCCTTCGTTCCTTATTATCTCTGACCTTGTAGGCTGCCTGTGTAGTGTCTTCCCATCAATTACACGTGGGACTAGTTTCGATTCCCAGCCTTGGCTTTAACGGCCTGGGGTCCTATTCTCCCGCGTGTGGGAGTCAGGCCGATTGGCCTAGGGATGGGGGGGGGTGCATACGAATACCCTATGTCCCATTATGCTTGTAGGAACGTAGCCATTCCTAACAGTGATGATGTTACTGCCTTTATAGCTCTGACAATAAAGTATAACCTTATGATAAGCGTGTACTCATTTGCTTGGCTGTGGAACCTTACAATGAGATGCCTCCCACGAGTTCTTGCGGGTTCCCACTTGTGTAAAATAGATTTTCCTTGCACATCTATCTCCTGAACTGCACAAAGTGGGTTCTAAAACTATACATGTTCCAATTGAATGGCACCTCTTCACAGACAGAACTTCCAATTCCTCCATTCTGTTCACTTTTTGGATCTGCTTGGTATGCATTGGGTTTGTGCTCATACAACACATTACGTGACATACAAATTAATCTCACCTCGCTCATGCACACCTCTGTATATTCGCATAATCCCATGAGTTTGGATTGTAAGTGTTAAGAAAACTAATTGCAGCACTGCAATTACTCTTCAAACTGAATACTGATACACTTCTACTTAAGCTCCCAGTGTAGTCCAGCTTTATGTTACCTTTTACTTGATCTTATTTATTTAGATATTTAAACTCCCATTGGCAATCCAAAGCAGTTTACAATAGTGTTCTCTCTTCCTCCATTTTATCCTTGCACCAGCAATTCTGTAAGGCTGGTTATGCTGAGAGAATGACTAGGCCAACGTCGCACAGTGAGTGTCCATAGCAGAGTGGGGATTTAAATGTAGGTCTCCCAGATCCTAGTCTGACATTCTAACCAGTAATGCTACTGGTGCCACAAGTTAGGGAAAGTGTACTAAAGTAATTTTTTAATACATGGATGCCATGATTGATTGTGAAAACCCATTTGCCACCATGAGAACCCATTTGCCACCAAAGTGAAATCAAAATCCATAGTGGTAATACTATTCATTAACAGCACATTACATGTTCCCCTGGGTCCTCCTCAGTTCTGCACAATCCACATGGGGTTGCCCTTTTAGGAACTCAATTCATAGGCATGGCCATAAAGATTATGGTCATGGTATGAAGGAGGGTGGACTTCAGCCTCCCTCCTGCCATTTTCCTGAATTGAAGCAGTCTGGGGAGACTGCAGTTTGCCTCATTGCAGGCTCCAGATATACTGATGGGGTACACAAAGGTTTTCCTAGTGAGGCAAGTAGCAGTTCTCCCAGGGGCATTTCAGATCTGGAAAAGAACATGAGAGGGAAGGCATAAGCATCCTCTACCTGTGTGCTGCAGCCTTGATCCTAATGGGGCCTTGTGTGCCTGGGAATTGAGCTCCCACTGCTCACAAGTTCATGTCTGACGGACAATCCTCATTGCAGATGGGGACCCACCCCAAGGACTTTGTATTGTTAATTATAGCAATTTAAAAGAGAAATTGGATGAGTGGACATGGAGCAATGTAAATGGGCATTCAATGCTGAAGTGTATTGTGTACTACCACCAAATAGAACAACGTTTGAGACCAGTGGCAGCTTTAAGACCAACAAAGTTTAATTCTGGGTATAAGATTTTAAGTGTGCATGTACATGAAAGCTCATACCCAGAGTTCAACTTTGTTGGTCTTAAAGCTGCCACTTTTTGCCCAAACAAACCAGTACTTACACAGTATATAAATCAAAGAAACCCGAACAACTGTGTATAATTGTATACAAAACAAACTATATTAAATAAAGAATGTACAATCCCACTGTGTAGTGGTTATTTGCTGATACAATCACAAAACCATCAATTTCCTATGTCCATACCAGGTACAAAATCAGTTGTCCATGTACATCAAAGTCCAATGGACGAAACAGGCAAAGCTTGTCCAGATGCAAGAGCCACAATAGATGGTTTCAAAGTAGAATCAGGAATTCCATGAAGTATTCCCTCCAGTCTAGCATTCTTTTCATTGAACGAGCATGCTAGCTAATTAGTTGTCTCATTTCACATCGTAGCTATTTCAAGGAAAGACTCACATTCCATGATTCTCTATAACAGTCTCAGAAGAGAAGTCTCCATAAAATTTCTGTGTGCTGCAATTCCATGCAGCAATAGATTCTCATCCTAAATATTTTGCAGCATCTATTTATATATGGGTATGTATTCGATGGTAATTTTCAGAACTTTTTAGAATTTAATAAAGGGGCAGAAATGTAGACATTCTTTAATGTAATCACCTGGATCTTAAGTACTGCAATACTATTTCTGCATACCCCAAGAGAATATTTTTGAAAAAAACTTTGTTTCAGCATGGCAAACCTTTGAAATTGAGGTGACTGTTGAAAGTACTTTTGGATAGGGTACTGAGATTGATTATTCAAACTTTTTTTTAAATCCCACTGGATGGGCCTAAACTTTTGGACTGTGGCACTTTTCCAGCATTTGCATTGTGTATGTTTGCTTGTACATATTTGAGAATCGGAAATGCAGAAGAGAGACAAAGAGAAAGCAAGAGACAAAAGATACCAGTCTCCAGTCTGGTGGAGTGGTTAAGAGTGCAGACTCTAATCTGGGAGAACCAGGCTTGAGTCCCCACTCTTCCACATGCAGCTGCTGGTGTGACCTTGGGTCAGTTACCAGTTCTTTCAGAGCTGTTCTCTCACGAGCAGTTCTCAAAAGGGCTCTCTCAGCCCCACCTACCTCACTAGCAGTGTTCCCTCTAAGCTGAGTTAGTGTGAGCCAGCTCACAGTTTTTTAGCCTCTGGCTCACACATTTTTGTCTTAACTCAGGAAGGATGGCTCCAAAGCAAAATAATTTATGCAGTAGCCAAATTGCTCGCTCACAACTTTAATGAAAGTAGCTCACAAAGTAGAATTTGTGCCCACAAGACTCTACAACTTAGGGGGAGCATTGCTCACAAGGTGTCTGTTGTGGGGAGGGGAAGGGAAAGGAGATTGTAAGCCCTTCTGAGACTCCTTCGGATAATGAAGGGTGGGGTATAAATCCAATCTCTTCTTCTGCTTCTTCCTTTGTTGTGCATTTTTGGGAACAAATGTGGCAATGACACTTGAAATAGGTTTGTGTGCATGTTGAAGTAAACAGCAAACACAGTGGATGGATTACATGGCAATTAATCAGCTGGAGGCTTCAAATGAACATCATAAATCTTGAGTTCAAGCAGTTTATAACAGCATTGGAAAAACTGGTAACCTCTTTTTAATAATACATAGTAAAGACTAAGCATTGCTGTCCAGAGAAAAACATTTTTAAATTCTGTGCTGTAAGAACACTTCAGGTTGCTGACACTAAAACACTTCATTAGTGTTTCATACTACCAGAAGTGATTTGAAAATTACAAGAACTAAATTTGCTTTTCAATAATTCTTTCCCCCAGTCTTGGTCTGGGTGTGGCTGGCTCACTGTAGAAAGTATTGCCCCTCGTTAGAGGGTGTATGTGGTCTACACCTGTGCTGTATTTAGGCTGCACTGCTGAGCTGCAAACAAATTCCAGTTTGCTGCAACAGTCACAAGCATGATTTGTCATATCTATGGACTGTTTAGCTCCTTCCTTTCTCAGGTAGAGTGTGAAAAAAATTCTAGCTGCCCTTGATATCCCCAAATGCAGGCAGCACCCAGTGAATTGTTCCTCCCCCACACACACACAAGCTAGGATTCTAAGGGCCAAACTAGATGTCAGTGTCCAGCACAGGAACACCACCTTTTAAAAACATAATGTGGGCAATTTAAAACACCTGAGAAGGCCCAATCCTGAGCAGGCCCACAGATGCAGTGGGACAAGGCACTGTTGTCCCCCCCCATATGTCTTTTCAAGTGCTGAAAGAACCATGTGGGGGTAGGTGATGGCCATTTCGGCATTTTAAAAGGCATGCAGGGGATAATAAGAGTACCTGGTTGCCGGAAAATGCTGCTGGACTCAGGACCAGACTCTCTACTGCCCCTGTGGAAGACACAGCTCCCAGCAGCCCCACCTCCACTGACATAGAGCCTGGCAGACTCTTGGTCAACAACCCAGGACCCTTACCTGGCACTCCAGCTCCTGGTATAGGTGGAGGAACGAGCTGGGGCCCAGCACTGGAATGGCCCAGTGAAGACAGCAGCCTCCACAGCCTCAGTGGAAGCCAGAGCAGCCTGTACCAAGGCAAGCCTCAGCAGAAGCCAGGGTGGGTCTGGAATGGCCTGCAGAAAGATAAGCCAGGGTAGAAGACAGGGCAGACCCAGAGAAGCCTGCACCAGGGCAACTAAGCCTAACAGGAAGGGCCAGGGAGAAGCAGGGGCAGGGCTGAGAGCTGGCAGCCTATCCCACCCAAGCCCTGGCATAACTAATAGGGTAGGAGGGAGGGCAGCTAGGGGGCGGGAGGAGTGACATCCAGCAGCCTAGTAGGTGTGCCAGGGGAGGAGTGACTCACCACCCTCCCTCAGAGAGAGGTCCTATATGCCCAGGAAAGGGGTGGGGCTATTTGGACCTTTAAAGGCAGGTTCTTGGGAAAGGCCAAGGAGGAGAGAAGGACACAGATCTAATCAAAATCATAATTATTTTTACACTGCCACTTTACAGAGTTTCATAAATTAAAAAAACACCCTGCCCCCAAGAAGCTTGCAACCTACGTTTTGACAGAGTAAGAGATGGAGGGACGAGAGGAAGGACAAAAGACGGAAGCCAATTTTTGCTTTTCCTGTACAGGTTTGCTTTTCATGGTTCCCACTGTTACTTGTGAAAATAGGTGCTTTATGTCTTCTTTTAAAATAGAGAATTTTGAAACAAAGAACAATGAACTTACAAAACAGGGATTTATGGATCTGAATCTCATGGAAGCCAGTGACCGAGGAGGGGATCTTAGTGATCTTTGGATTACTTTGATGTCAATGGGCTACAATAAAGCAATGGAGTTGACAGAGGTATGATAGATAACTGGATACAAAGAATAAGCAACTATAATGTTTAATATTTCTTCATTGTGTAAGTGGCTCTTCCATTGGATCTAGTGAACCAGTTGTATAGTCTGACTATATCTACATGTCTCTGGTTTCACACACTAGAATTTGAGCAAAGTATTATATCATAACTTGGATAGAAAGTTAAATTGCTGCCATATCCAATATTATTTTCCAAAGTAAAAATATCACCCCTGTCACCAAAAGGTAAAGCGTTATATTTTCTAAAGTGGGACAAGAGAAAGCAACAAGATTGGCAACTATAGGCTAGAATTAATACATTCACTGGGAAGACCTGCAACGGTGGTGGTGTTTCTCGCACTCATAGTGCAATCCCAAGCAGAGTTAACACCCTCCTTAGCCTTTTAAAAAAAACAAAAAAAACCCCAGTGTTAGATCGCGCTAACAAAGGACTTGTACAGTGATTCAGCAAGTGATTCAGCTTTATTAGAAGTAACGAGCAAGCACTAACTCAGTAAGAAACCAGAACAGAAAACAGTGGGAGCTTATGCTCCTTTTAAACATAACCGGGCTAATGTAGCCACGCCTATTTACAAATAACAACCAATGAGATTGCTAGAATAAAGACCAATGGGAGTCTTTCCCTCCTAGGGAATGGTATCGTTCTGATTGGTCGCTGTTACGAAGCGACCAATAGGAAGTTCGCTCAGAGGAGCCCTGGTCTGGCTCGAAGCTTAACAGGGGAGTCCTATGAGGTGATTCATGTAATCATTTCAATACATTACACCCAGAAAAGTAGCTCTGTATGTATGCATTCTTTATCTTTTTTTCATGTATCCATGGCCTTATGAGAATAAGCAGTCTTCCAGTTTAACTTGGAAATTTGGTTCAGGTATACTTGATGCTATTTGATTGCCAAAGCAGCGGGCTTGCATGTTCCTGTTCCCATTTGTCTTAACTGTGGTGCAGTGTTACATCTGTGCAGGGATTGTTGCAATTACACTGACCATGGTCCTAATTATGCCGGTGCAGACCTAGCACAGCTATAGGGAAGGGGTGGCGCAGCATTCTATGTGTTGAAAGCTTCTTATTCTGATTACATTGCAGTTTTGGTTTCCCAGATAATACCAAAGGTCATTTTCAGTGTAATTTCCCAAAATCTTTTGTTTCCCATTGTCCTGCTTTGAAATCTCTGCAAATAAATCTTGGTATCATAGTCAAAAATTGAAAAGGTAAGGAAATAGCTCAATGATGGGAATAATGATTGTATTTTCCTTTTCCAATAGGCATGTCCTTTTTCTATTCATATCTATGCAGAAAAGTGCAAACCCAAAATTAAACCCATTTGTCTGGAAACAAGTGGCGGGCAACTTAACAAAGCCATTTGTATGAATGTCGTTAATAAAGGAGATGCTAAGTCAATGGATAACAGTGAAAATATAATTACTTACACATATAGAAGTGATGCACGGATCACTTCTGTAATTGAAAACAAGGTATTGTATTACATAAATAATGGATTAAGCTTGTACAATAATTTTCTTAGAAATATGTATTTGTACTTTTGCTTCTTGCCTAAGATGTTAAAGTTAGGTCATAGCCACAGCAGACCATACCTAATTCTGGACCTTCCATTTTAGGATTCTTGTGATCAGTGGTTTGAGCTGGAACTTGTATCCTGATGCTGAAAATATTCCTGTATTGATAAAGCTAAAGGCCAGGTTCATCGTACATAAATTTAATTGTATTTATTTATTTTTTAGATTTAGATTTATCTACTACCCCTCTCCCACAACACAGGGCTTCAGGTGGTTCACAACATTTTAGAAGACATACAACAGAACCATAAGGTTCATCATTAAAACAGTTAAAATCTTGACATTCTCCCAGTTCCTAGAAACATTCCAAAGAGAAACATCTGGCAGACCACTAATTGCTGAAAATAAAAGGATTAGCTAATGGCCTGCTGGAACAATTCCCTCTTGCACACACTGCAGAACCTTGACAGGTCCTGCAGGCACCTGTCTCCTCTGATAAAGCATTCCACCAGGATGGGGCTATGGTGGAAAAAGCCCTCGCCCTGGTGGAAGCAAGACAGGCTTCCTGAGGACCAGGCACTGTTAAAAAAATTGCACAATGTTGAGTGCGAGCAGCATGGGGGGTTATATCAGGCAGGCGGTCCTTCAGGTATGCCAGTCCCAGACCATTTAGGCTTTAAAGGTTATAACCAGCACCTTGAACCTAATCCGGAATTGGCAACCAGTGCAGCTGCTTTAAGATTGGCTGTATATGGGTAGACCGAGATGAGCTGGTCCAGCCTGGCAGCTGCATTCTGGATCACCTGAAGTTTCCAAAGTATCCCCAAGGGCAGCCCATTGCAATAGTCTAGTCTGGAGGTGACCATGGCATGGATCACTGTGACAAGATCAGGCTGGGCCAAATAGGGGGCCAGTTGGCAGACTTAGCATAAAAAGTACAGTGTTGACCTGGCCACTGGAAGCACCTGTTTCTCTAAGGGAAGCAAGGAATCAAGTCACACTCCTAAGCTCTTTACTGAGTCCACCAGATTTAATGGGACTTAAGCCGATGCTGAGACTTAAGCACACACAATCCATCCCAGCTCATCAAGCTTCCCCCCTTCCACTACACAAGCAGCTACTAGATTACTGACTGGAGTTGATTGCAAGGAGTATATAATGCAGTTGAACATAAATGTAGTAAATACTTTAAACAATAATACACCAAGACAATGAGACATTCTGCTGATGGATACTATTTGGATATCTTGAAACTAATATTGTTTCTCCTCTTACAGACTGAAGGCAAAACAATAATTCACATCAACAATGAGAAAAGTAAAAATTGTGTGAATAATAGGGGACTCAATGCATTTGCTGTTGAAGTGGCACCCAGATCCATGATGGTAATGCTGTTCATGAAATCATAACTCTAAGTTCAGAGAAAACTATTTAAGTAGTGTTGGTTGAGAACACCAAATTGAGAAAAAAACAAAAAAGCCTCAACACACAAGAAGAATTCCAGGTTTTCTGTAATCCCTGAAAGCTGCTCCTGAGGGCCAGGAGACCCTCAGAAATAGCATGGGATGCAGCACAGGGGTCTGCAGATGGAGTAGGAAATTTGCAAAATTTACTCACAAAAGAGCATCTTTGAGTCCAGCCCATAATACTGCAATTCAGAAAAAGCAAAAATGAGAAATGTTTTAATGAAGAAAAAGAGATAATAGCATTGATTTTGAAAACATGTTATGATTATATGATTGAGGTATTTACACTTGAGGCCAAATTATTTTGCATGCTGTCATGAAATTTGTTTTCCTATCGTACAATTCTGCATAAGGATTCCATGTTCATCAAAACATTCATTTCATAAACAACATAGCAGAGAGTCACATACAAGGATCTCAACATAGCTATTTTGTCATTTCCTGAGAGAGAAGCTGTCCAGACAAACATCCCCCAACAGCACAGCATTTGGGGGTGGGGTCTGAAGGTTTGAAGAAGATTTTAGGATGCTTGCCATTCATTTTTTAAATATGTTTCCCAGTTACCACTTCTCCCAACAGCCTCCCCCCCCCAGCAAGTAAATTTACTTGAGAGAAACAGCAGAAGATCTCCATTTGAAGAATCGTATAAGAAGGGATATCTTTCCTGCTCTTTAGTAATCTCCTCCTCAACCCCTTCCTCCTAAGCTACACTGTATTTTGTATGAGAGATGAAAAATATTTACCAATCATCAAGGTTGCTTGTATGTGGCTCTGTGGACTATTTATTATAAATAGTACTGAGCCGTTATATATAAAATTATTCTTTAGACTTTAATAAAAATGATATAACTATCCCTGTCTCTCAAGGAAACTATGGGATAAAAACTCAAGAACAGATTAAGAAAAATAAAATAATTTATGTGTTGGAAATGTTGTAGTAAATAAGTGCCAGATAGCAATTGAATGCTAAATATGAATAATGGACAGCTATGACCTTGTTCCTGTTTTTTTTAAACATATATACAGGTTTGTCAGCATGTGATGCCACTGAATGAAGAAGAAGAATGGATATACAACTGTGTTTATTCTATTTTATCTTAAGCTATCATAGTTACAGGGTGTGGGCTCACAATCAATAGAAAGGAGAATCCCACACAGACAATGGTGTGACCCTGCCAAGCCTTGGAATGGGATTATTAGTTTCCAGATCACTGTACCTCAGAAGTCTTGTGCTATAGTGCAGTTGTCCTGGGTGCTGAGGTCTGAAGGAAGTGAGTAGGAAACTGATCATCCATGCCTGAAAACAGTAAAAACAGAGGAAATGTTTTTACCTCTCTGTGCCTTTGTTGTATGGGGAGAATGCCCGGGGTGGGGGTGGGGAGTATGCTTAAAGAATGTATGCCTCGTGTGATGCATCTCTGGACCTTAAGTTCAGCCACCCAAAGTATTATACAGGCTCTGTGCCCTTTGCAGTTTAAAGAGTGTTTGGGGATGAGATTGTGATTAATTAGAACTGAAGGAAGCATTTTTCCTAATCCCACTTCCATCCCTTTATCCTTTTAGCTTCAGAATGGTTGGAGTGTTGGTGAATTAAGATTAGGGGCTGCACACATCATAGCATGCCTTTCTCAACCCTAATTTCACATCCCACATTACTATAAGAACTGTGGGTGACCTTGTTGTGCTGCTCTGCTGATAGGCACTCAACCTATTAGAAAAAGTGAAGAAACAGCTTTGGGTCCAGTCTTGTACTACTCTTTAATATGTGAATTACCCGATAAATCTAAATTTTGAAAATTGATAATCTGCCCTTTCTTTTGAATAGGCATTGGGCTCTTGTGGTTCCATTCATTTTACTTTCATGTGTCTGTATGACAAACCATTGCCTGTTTGTGTCTTTCTGTACCGTTTCCCATAACTGCCTGTCATAACCAAGAGAGTGTAGCCTTTTCGCCCAATCCAAACATCTCATTTGTTATGTATTTCTGTGTATCATGGCAGACAGCGATGTTTAATATGAAGATGACAGTTCAGATCACTTTTTCTCAGTTCTGATGAAAAACTGGGTCGAGCTCTCTGATTGCTGAATCCCTACAATCAGCAGGCTGTGAAGCTTTCTCTTTGGGCATGGCAACTGTCAATCATGCCTTCATAATCTAGAGTCTTTATTATTGCTGATCATTCCACCCTTCACTTCTCTTGAAGACTGTACAGAGACTCTAGCTAGTGCAAGAATGCATGGGTCCATCACATTCTCAGCCTTATGGGACTTCAGCGACATGTCATCTGCACTGCCTTCCTGAATATGCTCGTTTCAATCTACAAAGACCGTGGTAACTTCCATATCTCAAAGACTCTCATCTGCATATTGCATTCCGAAATCTAATCTATACTACTGTATGTCAGTGTTCCGTGCACCTTGGTGTTTAGTCATGCCGGCCACATGACCACAGAAACGTCTTCAGACAGCACTGGATCTTCGGCTTTGAAACGGAGATGAGCACCGCAACCCTAGAGTTGGATTCGACTGGCTTTCGAGCAAGGGAACCTTTACCTTATGTCAGATGGAAGACTGCCTGATTATACTTTGCAGGATGCATACAGGGAATGTATTTTCAATGGTTTATACACAAGAGTGAACTTCATTTTGGGATGACTGTTCAAAGCCTGAGCCAACCACCTTTTGGAGGCAACATGTAATGACATCATTCTGTTTGCAGTAACTTTTTGTGGTGAATATTAAGCCAATATCAAGCAACATTTATTATGATTATATTCACTGTATTTCTAATCTATATTTTATATGTTCTGCTATCTGTCCTAAATTTTCAGGATAGAAGGGGTTAAATCTGAATAAAGAAATAAGTTGTGTGTCAGCTGAGTACTGAGAATTTTGAACTCTCCTTAATTATATGAGCAACTGTGCACTTTTAAAATCCACTTTAAAGAGTATACCATCTAAGAGCTTTGCCTATGACTAAACATAAAATTGTTTCTGGCCAATTTTGTAGCAGCTGCATTTTGGTAACTGCCAAGCAACCAAGTAATTGTCCAAGGCTTTCACTTTATTTTGCAGGGGATAGAGAGTTAGCAATTGTACATTTATTGAGGACCCAAGTACTTTCATACCCCCAAAAAAACAGTAATTGCTTTTAGCAAGGGAGCAAATATTTAGAAGAAGAGGAAGAGATTGAATTTATACCCTGCCATTCACTACCTGAAGGATTCTCAGAGCCGCTTACAACCTCCTTTCCTTTCCCCTCCCCACAACAGACACCCTGTGAGGTAGGTGGGGCTGAGAGAGCTATTTCGAGAACTGCTTTTGAGAGAACAGCTCTGAAACAACTTGTGACTGACCCAAAGTCACACCAGCAGCTGTATGTGAAGGAGTGGGGAATAAAACCCAGTTCTTCCAGATTAGAGTCCATGCTCCTAACCACTACACCAAACTCTTATGTTTCAGCTATTTTTAATTGTGGTCTTAACAAATGCATTGACATATTATTTCTAAATCCCTGTTCAACTGAAGGAAAGCTATACCACTGTTGCACATTTTATAACCTGTTGGCTGCCAGCCAAGGAGTCTTGAAAACTACAGTTGTGTGCATGGGGGTTATTGATCTCAGACAAAGAAATCTTTCACAATGCCACAACAGACCACAGTTCCCAGAATTTTCTGCGGGACTATAACATTCAAACTGGTTTAAAGTCTGTAGTACAGATACGTTCCTGGTATACCTTAGAATGGGGGTGTCAAACATGTGGTCCAGATATGGCCCCCACAGGGTTCATAGCTGGCCCACGAGCAACTGGGTCTCTTCTGCTTCCTTCTCCCTCTCTCCTGCTTCCTTTTGCATCACAGCTTGCTTTGCCAGGCTCTCTCAATTGCACAGAAGCTACAGAGTAAAGCCTGTCTTCCCTCCATTGGCTGAGGCTCCCCCCTCCCTTGTGGAGGGAGGGAGGGAAAGTGCGAGAGCCTGCTTTGCAAGGCTCTCTCAATTACACAGCAGAGCTACTGAGCCAAGCCTCTCTTCCCTCCATTGGCTGAGGCTCCTCCCCCTCGTCTCCTGGGGAGAGAGGGAAAGAACAAGAGCTTACTTTGTCCCGTTCCCCCAATCGCACGGCAGAGATGCAAAGCACCTATAAGACCAACAAAGTTTTATTCAAGGTATGAGCTCTTTGCCTCTCTACAGACAGAGAGTGTATATTTTGTTGGCTCATTATGCCAAGGCTCTCCTGGGTGCAACGGTTCCCCTCCTCTTTTTCACTGTATTCATGTCCTCGTGATCCAGTCTTTCTCAGTAGGAAAGCAATGTGAACTATTTAGATGAGGAATAACAACAAGCCAGTGAGGTGGATTAGGCTGAGAGTGTGTGTCCAGACCAAGTTCACCCAGCACATTTCCTTTGTAGACTGGGGATTTTGAACTTAGACTTCCTAGATAGTAGGCTGATACTGACCACTATACATTGCTGTCTCTCTATTCTTGCACTACCTCATACGAGCTGTAGTTATTTCTGTGGGGAAGACTATAGTTTTGTAGACAAACACATAGCCCTCAGTCTGTGATAGGGTGCCTTCACTTGGCCAGCATATGAAGCAATTTATGTACAAAAGTTTGCAATGCCCTGACATTTCATGTTTTCCCCTGGGTGGTGGGCTCAGAGCATTGACCGTGAGATTTCTGTAATGAATGTCATAAATCAAAAGTAGGTTTGCAACTTACAGATACACACCTGAACAACACCTGAATGGCATACTCAAGATTGCTACAGCACAAGCATTGTCTCCAGATTTTGATGCAATAATTCAGAGCAAGAGGTGTCAGTTATCAGAGACTTAAATAAAATATTGCAAGAGTGTTAATGTTTAAGCATGTTTTAATTTTAAGTTTAATTTTTTTTTAATTGTGTGCTTTATAAAATTCTATCTCAGCTACCTGGCATTACATTTTATGGCATTTATGGCATTGATTTATGTCAGATCCAGCACTCATAATGAATGAGTTCAACACCCCTGTCTTAGAATAACAGTGACATTGTTGTTGTTCAGTCGCACAATCGAGTCCGACTCTTCGCGACCCCATGGACTAGATCCCGCCAGGCCCTCCTGTCTTCCGCTGTCCTCTAAAGTTTGCTCAGTTTCATGTTCGTTGCATCGATGACACTGTCCAACCATCTCATCCTTTGCCGTCCCCGTCTTCTTTGACCTTCAATCTTTCCCAGCAATGTGACATAGCCTGGGAATATTTCAGTTTCTTGTGGCTTCATATCACACAATGTAGGCTGTCTTCTTTGGGGTGGGGGTATAGTTGTAACACTAAAGGGGAGGGGAGTCTAACCACATTATTTTAAAAATTCAGTGCTCTGCAAATACTTCAAATTTTGGATATTTTTATTGCATTGCAAAACTCCAGTCCCTTGCTTATTAACTTGGAAGTAAGCTGTATTGAGCAAAGTGAAACATTTTTTAGAAAATATGTATAGGGCTTGCCTGCTTCTCTATGTAAAGACATGAGGCACTTGCAGTAGCCTGCTGAAACAAGTTTATATTTTAAATCGGATATCAAATGTATATGACCTTGCCTAAGAGAGTGCAAGAAGTCTCAAAAATCTATATTTATCCCACAGCCACTCTTCTACTCTGATTTCTTCTGTTGTAATGGGATACTAGGCAAGTAAATGTCAGTTATGAAATTAAAACCATGCTTAGTAAAGTGCAGAGACTGGCTCAAGCTGTTCTTACTGGTTCTTGGATTAGGTGCCTACATATGTATTTTAACCTGTACAATAAAAAGAAAATATATTTTAAAAGCAATTTCAAAACAAACATTAAAGCAATGTTTTCAGCATGGAAGATTAAATTATAGTTTAGCATCATTTGCAAAGTGCAAGATGGATATAGAGGGACACAACTCACGATGAGGTGAAAATTCCTTTTCTGGTACCTCTTCGCACATTTGTAGGTTATGCTTTGGTTGGGTCGGACTAGAGAAATCAATCAGCACTCCACCTAAAATGTATCAATGAAATTCAGATATGTTGACTGAACTGTGTTTGGGAATTGGTAGAGTTTTCTACTGCAGGTTTTTTGGAGGTTTGTTGCAGAATTTTTGGGTCCATGTAAAAGGGTTCTGAGGGATGGAAAAACTATGCACCCTTCCTTTTCTTTGGTCTATACCCCAAATGCTGAAGGAAGGTGAGTACCATCTGCAAACAATCATTGTTTTGTCATCTATATACCTATTTCCCAAGTGTGACCCCCATCTGTGGATACCTAAATCCTAGGATTGGGACCACACATACCTAAACCAGATTTTTCTGCAAACTTGGGTGACCCCAGGCCCGTAGCTACAATGAGGACTCCTGGAGCCCGGCCCCCTGCATTCCT